TTAAGATCACACAGCGTAATTTGGGTGGCATTTTATTTCGTATTTTTAAATCATCTTTTTATTTTTGACAATATCTGTCAATGTAATTTCCTGCTCTTAATTGGGAATACATACTTGATGGTTTTAAATGCTCCTGAAATTAAGTGCTGCTTGACGAGCTGTTATTGTGTATGTATGTGACGTCACTGAAGGCCTAAGGTTGAAATGCACGGCCCGCCACTGTCTAATGTTCTTGATTGGAATTGGAAATAAGAGTGAATCTCTGTTGTACTGTGTGCAAAATTTCAGTGAATTATTGGCAACATTGATTCAGTGTTCTTGGTAATTGAAATACTGAAATTCTGTTGCTCGATGTTCAACAATTGAAATATCTCAAGAGTAAAAAATGGTCAAATATATAGAATTACCATGACATTTCAAAAGTTATTTCTCCTTTGTTTAACCAGGTTACAAAAAGACAAAAAAAAAACCCTAATTGAGATTAAAAATGTCTTTTTATAGAGTGACCTGGCCATATGGCAGCCAAGACATTGTGACAACAGTAAAACAAAATACCGTACACAATCACACTATACAATGTCAGCCATCCCGTTACCTCTGCGCCCCGCGTCCTAGACGCATAATTTTCTCGCCAGACGCACAGTTCCAAATAATTTGCGTTTTTGGGACGCAAGGAAATTTTTTAGGAAAAAAAAAAAAAACCTTCGGTAAATCTTTTTTTCCAGCAACGAACACAGTTTAAATCGCCACCATTGTTGTTTTGATCTCGTGTTAAGTAATTTCGCGTGACGAGATTTCCGTTCTCGCGAGACGAGATTAGCGAGCTCGGCCTTCACTTCGTGGAAAGCAGACGATTGCCAAGTTGTGTAATGTGAAAACAAGTGTTGCGAAAGTTTATTGCGGAGATATGAACCATGGGATGAACCTATTTCTCAGCAAATGTATACCTGAATTATTTAAATTTTTGCAGCATTTGTTTTTAAGAAATAAACCTATTAATGTATATTGTTGTTGTATGTGCATACCTGTCAAGTTCAACTCATACGGTTTAGCCATATTTCATACAGATTTTGTGGTGAATCTTACGTATATGGCCGTATCGCACAAATCATACATGGCCATATCGCACAAATTATACGGATTCTGAAAATTTCGTTTTTTTTTGGTTTTTTCCCCCCCTAACAGGTAGTTCCGTTTGGTTTTGCTCAGAATGGTGCTAGTCTACTCGAATGCTTTCATTTCCGGTAACTTTCCAGTAAATCACGTGGTTCCTACTTGAAAACAGCAGAGTATTCATTGCATACTTCGGCAGTGTACAAGCAAGTTCTACAAAAACAAATATATCATTCATATTTCGTGGGGGTTTTTTCTGCCATTATTTTGACATATAAAATGCTTTGGTATGTTATAAGGATTTTTTGCTCTTTATAAGGATTTTTTTTGGTAGTTTATACAGGTTGGCGCTCCGAAAAGTTGACAGTTATGTATGTGTTATTATCATATGCAATTGAATAAGTAGACCATTTCAGAATTCAAAATTTTTGACTCTCTAAATCACATATGTCAAAGTGCCGGCCCGCGGGCCAAATCCGGCCCGCGAGAATGTTTTGAGTGGCCCCTGGGATGATATTGATTTATGATTAGAACCGGCCCGCGGACCGCAGCAAGCCGAGAGCCCGCAGATCTTTTACACGCACCAATACTACATTTCCCAC